TTTAGGTATATACCAGTAGTTAAAATGACATGCCATAAGGTAATTCTATGTTTAATCTTCTAAAATTGATAGATATTTACATTTAATTTTTGAGGACCCTCATACTGTCATCACTAGCAATGCTCAGGAGCTTTAATTTATCCACATCCTGTGAACACTTGTTATTTTACAGTTTGGGGACCTTTTGAATAACTGGCATCCTTTTGGATATGTAGTGGTATCTCATTGAGCTTTGTATTTGCATTCCCTCAATAATGAGTGATGTGAAATAGGTTTTGATGTGTCTATTGGCCATTTGTATATCTTCTTGGGAGAAAGTCTGTTCAAGTCTTTTGCCCATTGTTGACTTGGATAAGTATTCTTAGGTTGACTTGTTTTCTTTATTGTTGAGCTTTGCAGGTTCCTTACATTTTCTTAATATGACTTCCTTACCAGACATATGATTTGCAATAATTATTTCCACTCCATGAGTTGCCTTTTCACCATGCTGATTTTGTCTGTTGATGCACAGTTTTTAATTTGGTGAAACACAATTTACTTCCTTTGTTCCTTGTATTGCCTGCTATTTTGATCTTATATCAAGAAATCCTTGTCTAATCCAATGTCATAAAGCATTTCCCCTAGGATTTTAACGAGTTTCATAGTTGTACATGTGAAAGCTGAAAACGTTGATTTCTTAAAAGAGAAAACAGAGTAGGGTTCATAGAGGATGGGTAGAGTGTATGTGTTCCTGGGTTCCTGGTGTAGTCAATGGTTACTCAGCTATCTCAATTGTGGGGGGGGGGTAGAGACTCTGTGTCAACGCAACACAGAGATGCTGGGAAACAGTGAGAGCTGGCAGGTGACCTCCAGGCCATCTCGTTTATTTTTGGAATGCATACAGCTGTTATAGGGTTCAGGTAGGGCATGCCTGCCAGTCATACATAAGCACCTTAACATCTCTAAGCCAATCATCTTATGCCTAATGTAACCGCACTATGAGGAAGCACTAAATCTTGCTGTCGTGATGGAAGGCAGTCTGGAAGGGTCTTTGACCCTACGGGAGGGGGGCTATGAGTTGGGGGGTTACATGCCCTGAAGCGCTTGACGCTCGGTTTCCTGACTTGGTAGTCTGGTAGCTTGATAATGCTGACCACAAGTGCTGAGGATGTGGATTCACAGCTGGCTAAAGCAGGGCGCCTCATCCTGCTGGTGTTCCTGGCAGGTCTGTACTACTAGCATAGGTTTTCCTAGCACTCTGAGCTGCTTGTAGCTGCTAGCTGTGAACTTAAAGTTATTCCAACAGTAGAGCAGGGAGGAAAGTGGGGGCTAGGATAATGGAAACCAAAATAGTTAGAAGGAATAAGTTCTAGCATTCTATACTACTTCTCTACTACTTAATAAATAACAACTTATTTATTAAGTATTTTAAAATGAACTAGAAGAGAATAGTTCAAAGATTATCAATACAAAGAAAGGATAAACATTTAAGGATAAGAAGCTAATTACCCTGATCTATTACTCATTGTACACATGTAGTGAAATATCACAGTGTATCCCATAAATATGTACAATTAAAAATAAAATGTTCTTTTTGGAAAATAAGAGTTTCTAATTTTAGCTTGTGGTGAAAACAACCACACATGTCTTGCTCCTGATCCCAATGGAAGAGGTTTCTGTCTTGCACCATTGAGAATTATGCTGACTGTGGATTTTCATATATGTCCCTTATTACAAGTTGAGGAAATTTCCTTCTATCCCAAGTTTTTTGAATGTTTTTATCATGACAATGCACTGAGCATTGTGAAATTCACTCTTACGGGGGTGCCCAGCACTAGGGACCGGGGCCTCTTCTGGATGTTTTTAATGACCTATTTGGTGCAGTGCTTGACATCACTGTCCTAATTGCTGGGCAGGCTCCTCTCTTCCAAGTATTTCTCACCTTCAGTGAAATATTAACCACAGCCCATGCTGTTCTGTGAGGTTAGCAGGCTTTCTTCCAGCAGAAAAGAGCCTCATTTGCTGGGTGATTCACCCAGTCCTGTTTACTTTCTTTCTGGAGGCTCTGAGTTATTCCCTTGGCTGTCGCATCCCATGACCACTGTGTGGCCATTTGCAGCCCCTTTCAATACCCTGCAAAGAAGACCAGTCCTTCTATCCACCTCCCCGTCCCCTCTAGGTTGGGTGGCTCTCTCCTCACCCTTCCATTTATCATCTTCAAGGTAGGGCTGCTGCTCTGTGGTCCAAGTTGACAGATCACTCTCTGTGGAAGCATCGCTCCTCCCCTGGACTTGTGTGGACACTGGTGCCATGAGCCCCTGGGCTTCCTCAGCCCCTTGTCCCTCTGAGCAGGTCCTGGCATTCACAGAGGTTCCTAGGTCCACACCATCTCCACCATTCTGCAGGGGCCCTCGGGCTGAGGCCCAGTGCAGCCCATGGCAGTAGCACCTCTCTCTGCTCAGTGGTCTCTGTGGCTGTGGGACCCCCAGCTTTGCCTGAGTCATCCCATCTCAGATGAGCAGCCTGTCATGGACAGGAAGCTCCAGGGTCATGGCACCTCTCCCAAATCCCTTCACCTTCAGCCTATGCC